ATTAAAAAACGAAAGGGGTAACACTGTCGTTTTTTTTTCGGGTCGAAAATTTTGAATTTCGATATCTCAGCTCTGGAAGGGTCTAGAGCCTCCATTTTTGCACTCAGGTCAAAGTCTCACGCCCCTCTATCATAATCCAGAGTTTGAGAAGATTGGAGAAACTTAATTTTTTGCCCAAAATGAAAAAAACGAAAGGGGTAACACTGTCGTTTTTTTTTTCGGGTCGAAATTTTGATTTCGATATCTCAGCTCTGGAAGGGTCTAGAGCCTCCATTTTTGCACTCAGGTCAAAGTCTCACAGCCCTCTATCAGAATCCAGAGTTTTGAGAAGATTGGAGAAACTTAATTTTTCGCCCAAAAATGAAAAAAAACGAAAGGGGTAACACTGTCGTTTTTTTTCGGGTCGAAATTTTGAATTTCGATATCTCAGCTCTGGAAGGGTCTAGAGCCTCCATTTTTGCACTCAGGTCAAAGTCTCACAGCCCTCTATCAGAATCCAGAGTTTTGAGAAGATTGGAGAAACTTAATTTTTCGGCCGAAATCGAAAAAAAACGAAAGGGGTAACACTGTCGTTTTTTTTTTCGGGTCGAAATTTTGAATTTCGATATCTCAGCTCTGGAAGGGTCTAGAGCCTCCATTTTTGCACTCAGGTCAAAGTCTCACGCCCTCTATCAGAATCCAGAGTTTTGAGAAGATTGGAGAAACTTAATTTTTCGCCCAAAAATGAAAAAAAACGAAAGGGGTAACACTGTCGTTTTTTTTCGGGTCGAAATTTTGAATTTCGATATCTCAGCTCTGGAAGGGTCTAGAGCCTCCATTTTGCACTCAGGTCAAAGTCTCGCGCCCTCTATCAGAATCCAGAGTTTTGAGAAGATTGGAGAAACTTAATTTTTCGCCCAAAATGAAAAAAACGAAAGGGGTAACACTGTCGTTTTTTTTTCGGGTCGAAATTTTGAATTTCGATATCTCAGCTCTGGAAGGGTCTAGAGCCTCCATTTTTGCACTCAGGTCAAAGTCTCACGCCCCTCTATCAGAATCCAGAGTTTTGAGAAGATTGGAGAAACTTAATTTTTCGCCCAAAAATGAAAAAAAAACGAAAGGGGTAACACTGTCGTTTTTTTTTCGGGTCGAAATTTTGAATTTCGATATCTCAGCTCTGGAAGGGTCTAGAGCCTCCATTTTTGCACTCAGGTCAAAGTCTCACGCCCCCTCTATCATAATCCAGAGTTTTGAGAAGATTGGAGAAACTTAATTTTTCGCCCAAAAATGAAAAAAACGAAAGGGGTAACACTGTCGTTTTTTTTTTCGGGTCGAAATTTTGAATTTCGATATCTCAGCTCTGGAAGGGTCTAGAGCCTCCATTTTGCACTCAGGTCAAAGTCTCACAGCCCTCTATCATAATCCAGAGTTTTGAGAAGATTGGAGAAACTTAATTTTTCGCCCAAAAAAAAAAAAACGAAAGGGGTAACACTGTCGTTTTTTTTTCGGGTCGAAATTTTGATTTCGATATCTCAGCTCTGGAAGGGTCTAGAGCCTCCATTTTTGCACTCAGGTCAAAGTCTCACAGCCCTCTATCAGAATCCAGAGTTTTGAGAAGATTGGAGAAACTTAATTTTCGCCCAAAAATGAAAAAAAACGAAGGGGTAACACTGTCGTTTTTTTTTCGGGTCGAAATTTTGAATTTCGATATCTCAGCTCTGGAAGGGTCTAGAGCCTCCATTTTTGCACTCAGGTCAAAGTCTCATGGCCCTCTATCAGAATCCAGAGTTTTGAGAAGATTGGAGAAACTTAATTTTTCGCCCAAAAATGAAAAAAACGAAGGGGTAACACTGTCGTTTTTTTTTCGGGTCGAAATTTTGAATTTCGATATCTCAGCTCTGGAAGGGTCTAGAGCCTCCATTTTTGCACTCAGGTCAAAGTCTCACGGCCCTCTATCAGAATCCAGAGTTTTGAGAAGATTGGAGAAACTTAATTTTTCGCCCAAAAACGAAAAAAACGAAAGGGGTAACACTGTCGTTTTTTTTTCGGGTCGAAATTTTGAATTTCGATATCTCAGCTCTGGAAGGGTCTAGAGCCTCCATTTTTGCACTCAGGTCAAAGTCTCTTGGCCCTCTATCAGAATCCAGAGTTTTGAGAAGATTGGAGAAACTTAATTTTTCGCCCAAAATGAAAAAAAACGAAAGGGGTAACACTGTCGTTTTTTTTTTCGGGTCGAAATTTTGAATTTCGATATCTCAGCTCTGGAAGGGTCTAGAGCCTCCATTTTTGCACTCAGGTCAAAGTCTCATGCCCTCTATCAGAATCCAGAGTTTTGAGAAGATTGGAGAAACTTAATTTTTCGCGCCAAAAATGAAAAAAACGAAAGGGGTAACACTGTCGTTTTTTTTTCGGGTCGAAATTTTGAATTTCGATATCTCAGCTCTGGAAGGGTCTAGAGCCTCCATTTTTGCACTCAGGTCAAAGTCTCGCGCCCTCTATCAGAATCCAGAGTTTTGAGAAGATTGGAGAAACTTAATTTTTCGCCCAAAAATGAAAAAAAACGAAAGGGGTAACACTGTCGTTTTTTTTTTCGGGTCGAAATTTTGAATTTCGATATCTCAGCTCTGGAAGGGTCTAGAGCCTCCATTTTTGCACTCAGGTCAAAGTCTCACGCCCCTCTATCATAATCCAGAGTTTTGAGAAGATTGGAGAAACTTAATTTTTCGCCCAAAAATGAAAAAAACGAAAGGGGTAACACTGTCGTTTTTTTTTCGGGTCGAAATTTTGAATTTCGATATCTCAGCTCTGGAAGGGTCTAGAGCCTCCATTTTTGCACTCAGGTCAAAGTCTCACAGCCCTCTATCATAATCCAGAGTTTTGAGAAGATTGGAGAAACTTAATTTTTCGCCCAAAATGAAAAAAAACGAAAGGGGTAACACTGTCGTTTTTTTTCGGGGTCGAAATTTTTGAATTTCGATATCTCAGCTCTGGAAGGGTCTAGAGCCTCCATTTTTGCACTCAGGTCAAAGTCTCACGCCCTCTATCAGAATCCAGAGTTTTGAGAAGATTGGAGAAACTTAATTTTTCGCCCAAAAATGAAAAAAAACGAAGGGGTAACACTGTCGTTTTTTTTTCGGGTCGAAATTTGAATTTCGATATCTCAGCTCTGGAAGGGTCTAGAGCCTCCATTTTTGCACTCAGGTCAAAGTCTCACGGCCCTCTATCAGAATCCAGAGTTTTGAGAAGATTGGAGAAACTTAATTTTTCGCCCAAAATGAAAAAAAACGAAAGGGGTAACACTGTCGTTTTTTTTTGGGTCGAAATTTTGAATTTCGATATCTCAGCTCTGGAAGGGTCTAGAGCCTCCATTTTTGCACTCAGGTCAAAGTCTCACGCCCCTCTATCAGAATCCAGAGTTTTGAGAAGATTGGAGAAACTTAATTTTTCGCCCAAAAATGAAAAAAAACGAAAGGGGTAACACTGTCGTTTTTTTTTCGGGTCGAAATTTTGAATTTCGATATCTCAGCTCTGGAAGGGTCTAGAGCCTCCATTTTTGCACTCAGGTCAAAGTCTCACAGCCCTCTATCATAATCCAGAGTTTTGAGAAGATTGGAGAAACTTAATTTTTCACCCAAAATGAAAAAAAACGAAAGGGGTAACACTGTCGTTTTTTTCTGGTCGAAATTTTGAATTTCGATATCTCAGCTCTGGAAGGGTCTAGAGCCTCCATTTTTGCACTCAGGTCAAAGTCTCACAGCCCTCTATCAGAATCCAGAGTTTTGAGAAGATTGGAGAAACTTAATTTTTCGCCCGAAAATGAAAAAAAACGAAAGGGGTAACACTGTCGTTTTTTTTTCGGGTCGAAATTTTGAATTTCGATATCTCAGCTCTGGAAGGGTCTAGAGCCTCCATTTTTGCACTCAGGTCAAAGTCTCGCGCCACTCTATCAGAATCCAGAGTTTTGAGAAGATTGGAGAAACTTAATTTTTCGCCCAAAAATGAAAAAAAAACGAAAGGGGTAACACTGTCGTTTTTTTTTCGGGTCGAAATTTTGAATTTCGATATCTCAGCTCTGGAAGGGTCTAGAGCCTCCATTTTTGCACTCAGGTCAAAGTCTCGCGCCCCTCTATCAGAATCCAGAGTTTTGAGAAGATTGGAGAAACTTAATTTTTCGCCCAAAATGAAAAAAAAACGAAAGGGGTAACACTGTCGTTTTTTTTTCGGGTCGAAATTTTGAATTTCGATATCTCAGCTCTGGAAGGGTCTAGAGCCTCCATTTTTGCACTCAGGTCAAAGTCTCGCGGCCCTCTATCAGAATCCAGAGTTTTGAGAAGATTGGAGAAACTTAATTTTTCGCCCAAAATGAAAAAAAACGAAAGGGGTAACACTGTCGTTTTTTTTTTCGGGTCGAAATTTTGAATTTCGATATCTCAGCTCTGGAAGGGTCTAGAGCCTCCATTTTTGCACTCAGGTCAAAGTCTCGCGCCCTCTATCAGAATCCAGAGTTTTGAGAAGATTGGA